ATCTCTATCATCTTCCTTTGATAACGCGCGGTGATGAGCATTTTGTTGCCCTGCAAAGTTTTTCATTTGTGATCTTGTTTGGAACCCGCTGAATGAAAAAGTGAACCAATCAATAAACCAGTTAGTCAATCAAGAACTGATATCACTGCACTTGGGACATTCCCAAACGTGCTCATTCTCCTTCTTCATTAGCCAACGAACAGTCGACATGCTAATAGTATCTATTGCAAACTGATTAAAAGTCTGCCTATGTTTTCCCTCAACGTTGAATATATTACAGAACATCTCCCCCTTTTAGTCTGAATTATTCTGTCAAAATATGGATTCTATTGTACTGGCAATTTGAACACAAAGAGCATTCATCACATCCGCTTTATCATAAAGTAGCTTGTCACCAGAGGAGCGGCAGCAGATAGAGTATAAACCTGCTTGTTACCGCCCACACCTGAATATCCTGGACACAAAGTCCATGATATACTGCCGATCTAAGTCATACATACATTTACAAAAAGTATAAATTGAAAACACAATGGACATTATTTCCCTCAAAACAGTTTACAGTGACAATATAATGGATCCCTTATACTAATTAAAATTCTGAAGGTTAAGCACGATATTATTTGTGTAAATACTGCTGCTGCTACTTCTACTACTACTATTGCTACAACAGCAACAACTACTACTACTACTACTACTACTACCACAATCACCACCACCACTACTGCAATATGCCAATAATAATACATGTAAAAGGATTTATTTAACTGTTCAATATTTGTAATTGCACCTGGTTTTGTGCTTGCTCCCTCTAATCATCAAAACTGGCTTTCAAGGGTGCTGATATAAGGAAAATATAAATGGAGAAGGGGGCCTCAGCCTCTTACAAATGTTCTAGGGGAGCTTAAGGAACTTAACATGTTTAAGTGCGTAATAAAAATAATAGTTATAATAATACAAGAATAATGTATTGAATAGCAAATAAATTTAATATTTGAAATATAAGATGTATAAACACATATATAAACAGAGAACCTCAATATATGTTAAGGAGGTCGCTTAATCCACATACACCTTTTTAGAGAGCGCACACCCCACCCCCTTTTGACCGTTTGTGGTGACACGCCCAGTAACTCCAGAACGTGTGTTTCTCCGACCTAATTTTTTCTATGTATTTTAAAGTATAGAGGAAATATGCTCCTAGATATAACCTAAATGAAGGCCATCCAGAATAAAGCCATTGAATTTCTCCTTTAGAACAGTTGAAGTCTAAACCCCCCCCCCCTCCCCCAGACTCTTGCCCAGAGGTAAGACAACAAGGGTCCAGATAACACTGAACAGATAGACTTAGTGGCTGTAGGTTTTGTCTGTAAAACCGAGGTGTCATACAATTAACTTGAGGCATTCATTTTGCTTTTGACTGAACTATTCAATTGTATGCCTGGTTTTAAACCATAGTTGGGTAAATTGTTTATTTAGGTTCAAGCGTCTTTGATCATACTAGTTTATCTCAGCTCACTTATATGTAAATCACTTGATGGGAGCTTCTGTTATGAATTAATACCAGGAGAGGAGAAAGTCAGACAAGTAAACTGTATTTTGATATTCTCATCTCGAATTACTCTTGATATTTAACTATCCCTTTTCCTACTCCTGTGGAGGATACAGGCACAGCTACTTTCATTTTATTCTACGAGCCACTTTTGCTGCTGTCTTGGTTATCCAGGACTTTTTATGTGCTCAACATAGCTCAGATATTAGTCCAGTTTCTCACGTGGGTTGCAGTGTCAGGATTCAAACCCACACACTCACTACATAAGTGTATATCCACGTGGGTTGGGGAGACCTTTATAATTCTTCTTTGAGTTCTCGACGGGACTATGCACACGGGTTTCTTTCCCTGCTGCTGGCTATATCTGCTGCTTGCACTAGGACTGGCAAACTAGATTTGACATCTATTCTATTTCCGCCACGGTAGCTAGTTGGTCAAACATCTAGATCTGACAATTGCTCTATCTCTATTATGGTAGCTTGTTGTCTAAACATCTAGAGCTGGCATCTACTCTGTATCTATTATGGTAGCTAGCTAATTGGCTAAACATCTATATCTGACATCTACTCTATCTCCGCCAGGGTAGAAAGTTGGTCAAAAATGTAGATCTGACTACTCTATCTCCATTTTGGTAGCTAGTTGGCTAAACATCTAGATCTGACATCTACTCTATCTCCATTATGGTAGCTAGTAGTTGGCTAAACATATGGATCTGACATCTACTCTTGTCTCCATTAGGGTAACTATTTGGCTAAACATCCAGACCTGACATCTACTCTATCTCGATTATGGTAGCTAGTTGGCTAAACATCTAGATCTATTATATCTCGGCCTGGATAGTTAGCTGCTCAAGCATCTAGACCTCAGATCTACTCTTCATGAGAGTGGCTATTTGGCCAAACATCTAGATCAGACATCTACTCTATCTCCACTAAGGTAGCTAGCTGGCCAAACATCTCCACCTAATATATACTCTATCGCGACCAGAGTAGCTTACTGGTCAAACATCTGGACCTAACATGTACTCTATCTCTATGAGAGTAGCTTTTTTGCCAAACATCTAGATCAGGTATCTATCTCCACTAGGGTGGCTAGCTGGCCAAACATCTCGACCTAATATATACTCTGTCTCGACCAGAGTAGCTAACTGGTCAAACATCTAGACGTAACATCTACTCTATCTCCATGAGAGTAGCTATTTATTTGGTTAAACAGCTAGATCAGACATCTACTCTATCTGCACTAGGGTAGCTAGTTGGCCAAACATCTTGGCCTAACATATATGTCTTGATCAGAATAGCTAGTTCTAGATGGATGAAACTAAATGGACTGTGGCGGGAAAAAGTATTATAAATTCAGAAAAAAAAAAACAATTTTGTTCGTAGGACACACAGAGAAACAGTTCTCCCCACAATGAAGGAGTGGCCCTGATGCTTTCGAAAGAAGCAGACAGGGCACTAATAGAATGGGAAGCTGTGAGTCCCAGAATAATAAGAGCATCATTTAGAACAGCGAAACAGTAAAGGTGAACATGTCGGTAATACAGTGTTATGCACCAACAAATGATAAAGATGCGTCAGTTAAGGAGGAATTGTACATGCAGAGTAGCTAGCTGGCCGAACATAAAAGAATACATATTCCTTCAATACGGCAATTTGTCATTTGGAGGCGGCTGCTTAGAATCTCTGTGTATTTATAGTCTTACGTGTGTGTATGTCGGCTCTGTGGCTAAGTCGATGCGAACGCTTCGTAATGCCAGGGTACCGGGTTCGATCCCAGCTTCGGGCCATACGCCTTGTGTTGGTTTCGACAGTGGTATCAGGGAGCCAACCGTCCAGTAGGCAATGGCAAACTACTGGACGTAAATTTGCCTAGTGAAACTACACAACAGCCAAGGGCTGATGGGGTTGGTTCTGCAAGGTCACGTAAAAGATACGTAACTAACCCGTGTGTGTATTTTCAAGTGTTTTCTCTGATTTATAATTGTTTTCTTTAGTTCTATTAGAGTCAATCACTATATGTGAATGTCATTAGATATGAATGTATTTATGTTTAATTGTCAGGTAGCATCATTACAACTGAATCAAGAAAGTGTGGATTGGGGCTGACACACTTAGTATCAAAATATGTCATGGTGGATATGCTGGCTGAATAGTATGATCACAAGGTGTTTTTAAAACAGATATTACATAACGAATGTCCTTTCAATACAACAAGAAAGAAAGTGGTAAAAAATAATATCAAGAAATGATCAGAAATAGTGAGAACGAAAAAGAAAGCGGCTAAGAAAAACATCAAAAAAGGATTAGGAAGAGTGATAATAACCAAGAAAGAGGTTACATGAATATGAAGAAAGATTTTGAAATGGGAAGATGAGGAAGAAGGAAGATGAAAAGTATAGTATTAAAAAGAGGAATAAGATTTGGAAAGGAAGAATGTTAACCCAAACACATATATTTTCTTAATATATGTAAACTGAAATAATGACCAATAAAGTCACTGGCTTACATGGGAAAGTACTTAAAATATCAGTAGCATACTCAGCAAACTCATGTGAACTGTGTATAACTGTCAAATGTAGCCGTAAGAACGGTGGTCACAGAAACATAGTGGTTAATGCTTTACGATAATTATTTTGAAAAAAAAATTAAAAAAATTAGTAAGTTGAATAAGTCCGCTTTAAATTTTTAAACTAAAACACACACACACTCACACACACACACACACACACACACACACACACACACACACACACATATATATATATATATATATATATATATATATATATATATATATTAGTAGTTATAGTAGTAGATTTTACCCAACCAGAACAACACACAAGCGACAAACACCCGATGACAAAAATTGCCACCATGTTGTTGAGGATCATCGTAGAGAGGTCCTAGAAACCGCGTTCAGCTATTAGGCCATGTTTATGGCCGGGCTATATTGCGGCCCCTGGCAAGAGCCAAAGCAAGGCTTCAAAATAACGAAAAATCACATCCCACAAGGTACTGACTAAGTATTACATAGAATATATATATATATATATATATATATATATATATATATATATATATATATATGTGTGTGTGTGTGTGTGTGTGTGTGTGTGTGTGTGTATGTGTGTGTGTGTGTCTACACATATGTGGACGAATCTAAGTAAGTTATCGCAAACAATAGATAAAGACAGTCTACTTTTCTAGCTCAACTGTAAGAGCTGAAAAGATAAAGAGAGAGAAAGAAAGCGGGAGAAATTTGTTGGCAGCCATTTGTCAAAATATGAACAGACGTGAGGACAAACTGTTGGAGATCAAAAGATGTTAGAAGGCATGATTACCCACCCCCTGTTGGCAAGGTTCTAGATAATGGTGATGTATCAATAGTTGTTTTTTTTTCAAACAAATAATTGTAAATCTTGTGATAAAGTAATCTGCATTCAATCACATTAGGCTTCTTTAGCTGTGAGATGTGTTTTTGGTACTACATTATTCAGAACGCAGTTGATTTCACGATCAACTATCTTCACATGCTTAAATTCTGGATATCTTGTTGTATCCCACTCACGTGGCAACTGTGGGTCGGCTGTTTTTACAAAAACAAGAAGCTCGTTATTGCAAATGATAGCGGACTCCAACTCAACAGGGTTTTCCCAGACCATGCCTTGAAAGTGAAGACTGAGAACCCTTTCATCTGACACCACCGTTTTCCACAGGGCTCCAGTTTCTTGGAGTAGATAGCTTCTTTTTTCTTGCCTGAAGACAATCATATTCTTACTGGAACCTGGCATTTCATGTAAGTTAATGAAAGTTGACATGGTCTGTGTATCAAAACGTTGGACTATTATTGAAGAGCTGTCTTCACTGGCAATTCCTAACACGAAAATATTACTTTCAGATGTTGTCATAGCAATATTTGTTACGGCATGTCTCAGCTGTCCAACGGTTTCCCATTTGCCTGTTCCAGGTGCCTTCTGTTCATCTGCTGCACTGAATCTTTCAATGGCTGTACAGTTATCTCCCCCAATAGCATAGATGTATTGGTCGAGAACTACAATAGATATGTTTGGTCTTGCTGTGTTTATCGGAGCCTCTAGCTGTCTCCAAGTATTTGTTTTGCTGTCATATTTGAAAGCGTATTGGTAAGCAGTTGTCGGTAATGCATAAATATCATTCTCATAGCTGACAGCTTTACACTGTGCAAGATGAGCTGGTGGTGCGGCTAAGGTGAACCATTCATTTTCCAGTGTCATACATGACATCTTTACTTGATCTGCTTGCACAAACATAGACATTATTACATTTTTTAGTTCACTTGAACTTCTGTGAATGGCAATAGGAGGACAGTAATCATGCCTTCTTCCAGGCTGCGTCTGGTACCGTAGCCCTTCCATTACAACGTCAAAGGCCTTTCTGTTTTCACGGATCAGTTCACTTTCAAAGAGAGTCTGAATGCGTGTGAGACTAACAAGACAGATTTTAGCAGCAGACAAAAGACTCGGCAAAAACTGTGCCCGGGGATTAGCCTCTTTTTGTATATCCTCATTTTCAGCTACATATTGTTCTTCTAATGCGTTTATGTTGTTCTGCCCTTGAATGTCTTCAACAATTTGTTTCTTTCGCTTCTCTGATCTTGAATCATTACTGGAAACAAAACCGACTAGTTCTGTATATGGAGGGGGTGTTTCAGCTGTTGCACCAGAACAATCTTCCTCAACTGTCACTGTCGTGGGTCCCCAACTAAAACGAGTCCACCTCATTATGACATCAATCATAACATCTTCTGATGGCACACTCAGAGCATCAATTTCCAATAGCTTCATGATGTCTTCATAATCCAGCATCAAAATTTTTTCCGTCTGTCTAAGGTATTCAAATTCCTTGACTATCAGCTCCCAGGAGAGTCTCATTACCATGTCAGATTTCAGCACTTTGGCATTGAGGTAAACGTCAACACAGTTGTGTATTGACAAGTTGTTAGTGTGAAACGTTTCGCAGCTTTCAATAAGAAAATCTATCTCAAGCCAGTTGGCTGCATGCCATAGCCTGGTGGCATTTTCTGTATTTAGGACATACTTTGCTTTGTATATGCAGTCAATAACTAGACTAAAAATGTCCGGTTCAATCTCTTTAATGTCAACAATATCTGCGTGGCTTTCCTTCATGCCAGATGAAAACTTGCGTCGGAAATACTCCGAACACGCACTTAGTTGAAATCGATGACAGTGGAAGTGTCTCTGCTTTACCACAATGGTAATATCATAAAATTTACTTCGTTCCAGTTGCTCTGCCATTGCTTGCACAACTGCTCTTGCCATACAGTCGGACACGGCCATTGTTGGTGAATATCTTTACGGTTTACCTGTGGAATACATACTTTAATTAATTACATCTAAAATAGCAGTTACTGTGTTTTAGTTAGTCGACAGATTATCCTCATGGCACATCGAACCATTTAGTAAATAAGTGTTCGGATCCCCGCCTTAGTAAATCCCGCAGCGGGCAGCGGCTCATGACACCAGTTCTGTGTTAGTTTATTATTTCTCGTTGGCTTCTCGCATAGTGCTCTTGTCTGGCCACGTCTCTTTTAACATGTTGTTTTTGCTGACTGGCCATGTTTGCAGATTCACAGTCATCACTTGGTTCTCACGAACGTCTTACATCTTTTAGAGCATTTAGACTCATTTAGACTATCTGCCTGATCCATGACTCATGTAATTTATATTCTAGTCATCCCCCTGGGGAATGCAATTTTTCGTTATTTTGAAGCCCCACCCTGGCTCTTGCCAGGGGCAGCAATATAGCCCGGTTATAAGTATGGTCCAATGGCTGGACGCGGTATCTGGGACCTCTCCATGGGTGATTCTCATCCACATGATGGCACTTTGTGTCACCGGGTGTTTATCGCTTGCGTGATGTCCTAGTGGGGTCAAATGTACTACTACCATGGCTCATCTGGCCTCCAGAGTGCCCTGGAACAAATATGAAACTCATATCTGTTAGCCCTGACAGATTGTGTCTCACTATGGTGCAACTTATATAGAATTTGTGAGCATAGCGTCATATAACTTCTACATTCACGTCAAAACACAGAATAATATAGATAATAGGAATGCAATTTAAAGCAGTACAGCGCGCAAAAAAAATCACTGCAGTACTTACTGAAGCACGTGTAACATGTGAAATTCAGAGTATAGGCTAATAATAAAAATTATTCCCACTTGTAAGACCAGACAAGCAAAATATTTTGTAAAATCATCATAATGCGGCTTGAAAAAGGAGTAGATAAATGCCTACGAGTGGAACAATCAGGATTCAGAAAGGGCAGAGGAACAACTGAGCACATCTTCGCCATACGTAACATTTTAGAACAATGCAAAGAATGGCAGAGAAGTATATATATTAATTTTGTGGACTTTGAGAAAGCTTTTGACAGCGTCCATAGAGACGGTCTGTGGAAAATTTTACGACATTATGGAATTCCAGAACAAATAGTCAACATAATTGCTCTCTTCTATAAAGACTTTTCCTGCAGTATAAAAAATTACAATACATCTTTCCTAGTAAAGACAGGTGTAAGACAGGGATGTGTTCTGTCATCTCTCCTCTTCAACCTTGTGATTGATTGGATACTAAAGAACACAGTAGACAGGACATTAAGAGGCATACGATGGACTCCATTCACCATGCTCGAGGACCTTGATTTTGCAGATGATATAGCACTCCTATCACATAAACATGAACATATACAAGAGAAAAGTAACAGACTACACTGCACAGCAGAAATGGTGGGGCTGAGAATAAATACAAAGAAAACTAAGATCATGACAAACAGTCCAAACCAACAACCAATGACCATAAGTAACCAATCACTTGAAAATGTAGAACATTTCACATATCTTGGCAGTGTGGTGTCCCTACTAGGAGGGACAGAGGAAGACATACAGTAACGCCTGAACAAAGCTAGAGCTGTTTTTAGAAGGATGAGGCAAATCTGGAAATCCAACAATTACTGCAGAGGAACGAAACTCCGACTCTACAAGAGCATAATTTTGCCAGTTTTTCTTTATGGAGCGGAATGCGGGAGAATGACCAAAAAGGATGCACACAAGCTGTCCACCTTCCACCACACATGTCTACGTAGAATTATCAAAATTTTCTGGCCAGAGACAATCTCAAACACTAAACTACTTCAAGCCACAAACCAAGAAACTTTGGACAGTATGATAACCAAGAGGCTATCAGTGCCAAACGTGGACACTTACATCCTCCAATGAACGTAAAATTGTGACAACAGAGATGAAATGCCTTAGAAGAGCTGCAGGAGTTTCAAGGAAAGACAGAATACAAAATCATGAAATCAGACGAATGCTAAGAGTAAAGCCAGTCTTACCGGTCATCAAAGAACAACAAATGAAATAGTTTGGACACCTAACAAGAATGCCCCTTTACTATCCACCACAGCGAGCCACACTAAAACGTTACAACGGGGATAGAGCGAGTGGAAGACCTTTGGAAAATATAGAGCGATGGCATTTAAGAACAGCCTTACAGAAATGAACATCAGTCTTAATAGTGCTCTTGACAGAGCTCATCGGACGAACATTACATCTCCCCCCGACACTGCGATGAGGTACAAGTTGGAAGAGAAGAAGAAGAAGAAGAAGAAGAAGAAGAAGAAGAAGAAGAAGAAGAAGAAGAAGAAGAAGAAGAAGAAGAAGAAGAAGAAGAAGAAGAAGAAGAAGAAGATAACCAAGAGAAGATGGAAATGGATTGGCCACGTTATGAGAATGACTTCTGATATACCTGCCAAAACAGCTCTCACGTGGACACCAGAGGGAAAGAGAAAACAGGGGCGCCCAAAAACAACATGGAGACGAACGATGGAAAGTGACCTGAGTGCGGCATCTTTGACATGGAAAACTGCACTGAAGATTGCACAGGACAGGAAAGCATGGAAAGTCCTCTCTGAAGCCTCATGTGCCACTAGGCATAACGAGAACTGATGAGGTGATGATGATAAGACCAGACAAGACCACAATTTTAATGCCTGAGTTGAATAGAGGCATTTCAGAACATAATATCTACACCGTTTAGCCAAACGTACGGGATTTTAGCGAACCCAGGGTATTCCTGGCAGACTCAAGAGTGGTACTTCAGACACCCAGTCTTGAAAATTACCAAATATACAGACACTACAATACAGGCAACCTGTTTAATGTAACTATACAATGGATACCACCCCACTGTGGAGTTCCCAGGGATGAGGGAGCTGATAAACTAGCTATGGAATGTCAAATGCAAATGCAAAACACTTGACTTGACTTCACTTGACTACTACTATTACCACTACCACTAATACTAACATCACTACTATTACTACAGCTACTACTACTACTACTACTACTACTACTACTACTACTACTACTACTACTACTACTACTACTACTACTACTACTACTACTACTACTACTACTACTACTACTACTACTACTACTACTACTACTACTACTACTACTACTACTACTACAACTATACTACTACTACTACTACAACTATACTACTACTACTTCTTCTTCTTCGTTCAATCAAATGCCAGATACGCCATTGGCTTGAAAAGAGTCCTTCACTTTTACTGTGGAGTAAAACTTCGATTAACCATCACTGTCCGGACTAGGGCTGAATAGACAGATAACAGAAATCTCTTAAGACGAGTAGTGTGCAAAAACGTATTGTAATACTATGAACCTCATCATCAGGTGCCTTGCCGACTGGCGTGGGCGATCATGCCTCTCCATAATCCGCGATCTCTTAAAGCATGTATCAGTTCGTGTGTCGACACAACTCCATGCCATGCAATAAGACTGTCAAGCATCTTCTCTCGTTGTCTTCCTCTATCCCTCCTTCCACAGATCTTTCCAGTGGTCACAACATGTTCTATTTTCCCTCTTCTCATAACATAGCCGAAAAATGATGACTGTCTCCTTCTGATGTCAGTGATAAGTTGTCTTCGGGCTCCCGCCTCTTTTAAAACCTCTTGGTTGCTCTTTTTGGCTGTAAAAGGTATTCTAAGCATTCTTCTGTAAAACCACATATCTGAGGCCTCCAAAAATTGTTTGGCCTGCCTACCGATTGTCCAGGATTCACATCCATATGTTAAAACTGGATGTATGTAGCAAGCAAGAATTCTTTTTCTAACTCTCAATGACAAGGATATATTGCACAAGATGTTTTTCATTTTATAAAATGCAGTTTTTGCCTGTCCAATTCTGTTTCTTATTTCAGTTATGCATCTTCCATCTGATGTTATCCATGTGCCCAGATACTTAAATTTCTGTACTTGTCTTAAAATTACACCATTGACTTTTATTACACATTTAGGAATAATTTGTTTCTTTGATACCACCATTACTTCTGTCTTCCCATTATTTAAACTTAGGCCCATTCTTCCACTTTCATAACGTAAATTGTTTATATTGTGCCCACCAACCACGATTCCGGGCATATCAATTAAAGATCTCATAATATATTCACTGTATATAGAAAACAAATCAGGTGAAAGTACACATCCTTGTCGTACGCCCCTCTTTATGCTTTGAAATGTACCTAAACAGGTACTATAAACCTACGCTACTTAAAAATAATCTATCATCGCATTCTGTGTCTTTGAGGCTCGAGCTTTCTGTCTCTCAATGTTCCTTATCTTATGCAGAAGAAGGATCTGTGCTGAATTTGCCTCCTCTTGCATTTCAAATCAGTCGATGCACTTTGATAACATTGTTTCTGCTTTTGAGTGGCTAGTTGTAGGTATATAGTTATGGGTAAGAACTGATCATTTATCGTCGTGGATAATTTTAAAGATGTCCGTTTGTTTGTTGGTACTCACGCATTTATGAAGAACCCATATAGGAAGAAATAACTAGGCAGGCTGTATACTCTCTAAAACTAGCAGCATTTGAGAATATCCAGACATAACTGGCAGCAGTAGTGGTAATTTTCATTAACAAATATCCTGCTCAGCCCTCTGGGAAAAAAAGTGTTCACTGAGTTTTCAAATTATATATTATAGTTCTTTCAACAACTCATAAACACACTTGCAAGCCATTATCTCGAAAACTGCCTGTTAGACAGCATCGATTTTTTGGTTGCAGCCTTAAAATATCCATGACGCAAAAAACTGTGATATAGTCAATAGATTCTTAAGATGCTGAATACCAGCCAATTCATTTGATATTTTCGAACCATTGTAAATAAGCGGAGTGAACTTTTAGATTTTACAGTAAAAATCTGAAATTCCGGTTCAATTTTTTTTTTCAGAGACGTGTCTTTATAATAATTGATAGGTGAAGTAAATTGTTTGCTGTTATTTATGTTCAACTGAGTTGAGTTAAGCTGAGTCAAGGAAGACTCTGTGTTCCCGTATGCGTTCCATTCCCATCTTCAGCAGCCAGCGCAGAGTTCCAATACTAATGGTACTGGATGCAGTCTGAATATATGTCCATATTGCCATTCTTCTGAGTGTAGTGTGCCGGCCAGGATCTCTGGTCACACCCAGGTGTATCATTCTCTCCAGGTCATGATAATCTATTTTCTCCTCTGACGTCATTACTTGATCCCAAAGGGCCTTGACCACATCTGCTTTGTCACGTATCAACTCATCACCCAGTGATGCAGATGCAGCCAATCTGTTTGCCTTGTTCAATTGTATATATGTCCCCAATATGCAACAGTTTAGTATTCCCTTTTAGTCATCATTAGACCCCACGGGTGTATCTTGACTGCACAGCAAATTGTATTATGGTTGACACATTTAGATATGGAGATCTGTTTGTTGCAATTGTAGATGTACCTAACGGGTTGATATTCAGCCACTCATCGAGAAATGGTTTTAATCATTCCGAATCTGACCATCCCAAAAGGTTGTTAATTGTTACTGGCTGAACAAATTGTAATCCATATCGGTGCCAGTACTTATCTTCCTCTTGGAGCACATCTTCAACACACTTTTTCCAGAAATGAATATCTAATTTTGGGGACTCATGTGTGAAAACTTCAACATCACACATTTTAAATGTAATGTTCTTTTCGGCAACTTGTCTTTTCACTTTAGCCCAAACAAGCTTTATCGGGTTGAGGTGTGAATGATATGCAGGGAGTGGTAGAGACGTTTAGCCGTATTCATTAATAATTTTGTGAATGTGATACACCTTTGTCTTATTTGTTTTCCTCACAAGCCGCAACAACTCTGCCTTCAAATATGTGTCGTCAAAGTTGACTTTTTCCTTAGCAAGCCATGTCCTAATTTGATCTTTTGTATTTGATGTCGCTGGTACTTTGTCTTCCTCTGATACAGCATTTTGATAGGTGGCATTATCCATTACTAGTCATGATGGTCTGTCCAGAATTGGAAGAAGATCATTCTCCAGCCAGTGCCTGAAAATATGTTCATTCATTTCAGCGTGGTCCATCCGCACGTTTTGATTGGAAAATAAGTCCAGAATCATGGAAAAGGCCCTTTTCACTGCTTCCTACATAAGTGAGTATAATTGGCTGGCTTTTGCTGCTTGGAATGTTTTTCTGTTCACTTTTTACTAACCGCCATTCTTCAGCATAGGTATGGTGAGCATTAACCCAGGATTCATCCAGCTATACAATATCATAGCCTTGCATCCATCGCTCACGGATCTGCCTCAGGTATTTGCCTCGACTAGCAATCAAATGAGGCTTTTCACAAATAATATTCATGCTATCTATAGTTTTCATGAAAGTGAACCCGGTGGCTCTTACAATTTTCCACAAACTACTTTTTGAAATGTCAATACTGCACTGATTTAAATGTTAATTTCAGTTTTCGGAGAGTAACAAATTGATTTGTCTCTAACATTTTTAAGATCTCACGTCTAATGACATCTACATCACGTTAACTTTCTTTTTCCTTCATTGCTTGACATGCGTTTACTTTGTGTACTGTCTAAGACAACGGTTAAATGATGCTTTATCCAGACCATGCGTCAAAAAAAAAAAAAAAAAAAAAAAAAAAAAAAGACTACATCTGATATTCTTATTTAGTGAAAAAATATATTTCCTTAACGTCATGGATATTCTAAGGCTGCATGCAAAAAATCATTGCGATCTAACAGGCAGTTTTTGAGAAAATGACTCGCATAGGTGTTTATGAGTTGTTGAACGAACTAATAGTTAATTTTATATATCACCTAATTATTATTTCAGACAATTGTGTAATTTGTATTTTTGTTTGTACTACTGCTCTGTTTAAACCAAAATATAGAGATCTGTTGAGAAGTAAGAAATCCTGCTCAATAACATGACGATGAATCACAATGCTTACATAATAATTAATAATATTTATTTTACAATATAAAGAAATAAATGTAATAGTGCATAAAGTAGCCTACCTTGACTGTGAAATCAAAATACCCCAAGTCCAAGTCCTTTTAGGAAAAAAAAGAAAAGCTCGACCACAAATACCCCAGTTAAATGCACACAAACATTTATTTATGCACTAAATAATTAATGTACGAGCAGGCTGATTGGTTGTTAAACACTGACACCTTTCTCCGTTTGCATTTAACGGGAAAACCCGATTCCTAACTCGGCCGCACTTTTTTAGATAAACATGATTTCCTAGAAATGACCAGCAAGGGTGACCTTGTTAAGACCACTTCATCTTCCTGGAGAAATTCAAGTGTTTATGTTTTATGTTTTTTTTTTTTTTGACGGAACAACATCATGGCACACGGGTGTAACCCATAAGGGTTCCGTTTTTCTTTTAACAGCGCAGTGCACGAACTCCGTTGCACCGGCAAGGATCCTGAAATGCTTTGGGTAGATTTTTAACCCAAAATTGTGCCCGGGCAGCACCGTTAGTCTATTCTTTTCGATTTTTAACTGGCAATGGATATTTTTACGTGCACAAGAAAACGCACTGGCGTCCAGACTTACTATCCAGAGACCAGGGGAAATTACAAGAAGTCCATGTGAAAACATCCCAGCCTGAGTCTTAAACCCGGGACCTCCAGCACTCGAGGCGGACACCATACCTCGAGACCACTCTTTAAAAAATCCAAGTGGAAACGTGAAAGATAGTTCTTTGAAAACGTTATCTTTTCAGAAATGAGACACGCTTGTTACACGATCTGTTCTTTGATTGACTGATTGACTTTCTACCCCACCAGGACATCGCACAAGCGATAAACACCCGATGACACAAAGTGCCACCATGCGGATGAGGATCACCGTGGAGAGGTCCCAGAAACTGCGTTCAGACAATTGGCCATATTTATGGCCTGCCTATATTGCGGCTCCTGGCAAAAGCCAGATTGGGGCTTCAAATAACAAAAAATTACGTCCTAAAAAGGATGTAAGTATTGGTGTGTGTGTGTGTGTGTGTGTGTGTGTGTGTGTGTGTGTGTGTGTGTGTGTGGCTTTTAGAATAATGTATTCTTGCAAATGAAATGACAATCAGTCATCAACTGATACAGTAAAACAGCCATAATGCGTTAACTATGTGAGTCACATTTTGGACTTGGGGTGAAACGTAGCTCGTATACATCTTGTATACGCATAATGAATATACTTTTGTTTAAACAATACTAGATACCACAGAGTCAGTGTCGAAACAAATCTCAAATTTCGCTGATAGCCAAGACAAGGAAGTATAAACATCTACAATTGAATCATACTTTTTGGGATGATTACTTTAGCAACATAAAAGTGGCTATATTGGTCTCAATACCTTCTGACTATGTACCTAGATATGTTCATACCCGATAACAAGTTTATATAGCAGGGGGAAAAGCCTATAACAAAATATGTCGCCATTGGTAATAAACCACGTCATTGAAACCAATTGACTTTAGTGGTATCATTCATGTACTGAATCTGTGTCTAGACCTGTACCACTAGATTAGCACATCAGCCCTCCTTAATTGACAATTGAAATGAGATTCTCAAATATATAGTCCAGCTCAAAAATCAAATATCCGCCTACTCAAAAATTGTGTACCTAAGTTGTACTTATGTGTAGCAAGTGTCACCGCCACTAATGCTGTCATAATGTAGGTATATTCTCATAATCCGCTGAATGTATCGATATAATCATAAAGGGTTACTAAAATATTAATTGAAGGAAAAAATCACAGGCTTGTTGCAAAAATTACCAGTTTGAAGAAGCCGCATTATTCATTGTCTGTCCAGCTGCTCACAATATAACAAAGACATGACTGTATGCACCAAGTACTATTTATTCAGTAAAGATTACGACAGAACACCACAAAGCCATGTTAATTGTTTTAAACCAATAATTTCCGGGAATTTCTGAAATACACACACAGAACATTGTGACTTCTCCTATGAGTTACTTCTGTGGTGCAGTAAAGAACTGAATGTTACTGAATTAGTAGACTTTCTGTTCTTGGCGCTGAACATTTGTTCTGCTGTGGTTTTTCATCAAGTAGTCAGTAAACTCCTGGTAAGGAGGTTTGGTGAACACAGTTTCCTTCCAGAAGTCGGGGGTCAGATATGAATATGTCTTTGCAATCGCTGCGTAGGTAGCTTTAGCGAAGTTCCCCAGAGTGGAGGTTGCACCCCTGGCAGAGGTGTAGCAATCTTCAATCCCAGCCATGGTCTGTAGTTTCTTGGGCACATGGGCACTGACAATGCCAGTAGCTCTTGGGACTGGAATCAGCCTCACCAAAACACTGCCACATTTCCCAGTGACTTTGCATGGCACTGTATGGGGCTTTCCAATTTTGTTGCCCCAGTAGCCTCGCCTCACTGGAACGAATGAAAGTTTGGCAAGTATGATGGCTCCTCGGATGGCAGTGGCCACTTCCTTAGAGCACTTCACACCCAGTCCAACGTGACCATTGTAGTCTCCAACTGCTACAAAAGCCTTAAATCTGGTTCTTTGACCGGCACGAGTCTGCTTCTGAACAGGCATAATCTTCAGCACTTCATCCTTCAACGTTCCAGGTGGCAGGAAAACGTCAATGATGTCACACTCCTTCATTGGCAGTGAGAAGAGATAAATCTCTTCCAATGACTTGATTTTGCCATCCTTAACGAGACGCCCAAGTTTGGTCACAGGTACCCACTCCTTGTCACCATCCTTAGCACCTCGTCCACGACCTCTGCCACGGCCACGACCTCCACCCCGACCACGGCCTCGACCCCTGTCTCCAAAGCCACCACGGAACCCACCCCTCGGACTATCACCGGCTGGTGCTGCAGCTGCGTCCGCCATTGGTGATTGTTCTGTCGATCAAAGCGACTATATCTCAGATCTGTTCTTAATCACGCCCGGCTTTTATAATAGCTCGAGCCGGGCGTGGTACTTATTATTGTCATGTGGTGTTGGTTATTACGTCTATCCCCAGCAGCTTGGGATTGAGGATTGGGGGGGGGGGGGGTAGGAAGAGCGAAGGGTTGCCATATTGGCTTTTTTAATGCCAGATTCTACAAATTTTGTGTATTTGAAATTTAGCTGGCTTAATTAACATAATGAGCTGGCGAATTTGGGCGTATCTGGGTTTTTCCTGGCTTTTCTAAACAGGACATGCTAATATTTTTTCCTAGTTCCTCCGTCAAAAACACGCTAATTTACTAAAGGCAATGTAGGCCTACAGTTAACATCCTTTTTTGTTGTAATTTCCTGGTACGGCTGGTACACGGACTAAAGGAGATTTCGCGCCATCTCTTAATGTACGAGCATATGTGTTTGAATATGTTGTGACTGCAGTGAAACAAGGCCTTCTATAATTTAACTATATCAAAGCAGGTCATAGATAAACCATCTCACGTTCACACTACATGCAGTACGGAGTCATTTAGCCTGGAAGACTTATCTGTGCTGGTGGTGGGAGTTTGCCGAGTTTAAATGTTAATTTACTAGAATAAATGCGGGATATAAAATCAAAATCCACAAGTGATGCCAAGCGATTCAGGCTGTTCAGAAACTACTTGAGGATAGAAAGTAGAAATGATATAGATCTAGTTCTAACTATGATAGATTTTACTACTTTTACCAATGGCCATCTTATCAAAAAAATGGAAAGCATCTTATGACAGCAATCGCAAGAGTGATAGTAATTAGGAGAAAACATAACCTAGAATCAAAATATCTTCAGACGGATCAGCGGCAGCACATTGTAAACTGTCAGTGCACTATTATAACCAAGAATCAGTAACATATCAAATCATGAAAATTCCCCCCCCCCCCCCCCCCCCCCCCCCCCCCCAAAAAAAAAAAATCCGGATGAAAACTCCGTCAAAAAGCCAGTCACAGCTTATTACAACAATGACTGCTAGGCAAAGTGATTTTTAAAAGCTAAGGCAGCAGAGTTTGCAAACTGCTGTATGCATGACCTGCAATTGTGCAATACGCACAATTGGTCATCTAAGTTATATCATGACAGCGCATGGTCGGGGCAGTACACTGAAACATTTAAAGTGGCATAGAACTAAATGTTCATGCATACTAACAAATATATATATATATATAACCTGCCCTTAAGGCTGAAAAGGCTTACGCTGCATCTTCCACTTGTTCCAGTGAGGATGACAGTCAGGAATTCAATCTAGAGCTTTTTGTGTGAAGTGATTACAATGTTACGTATTATGTGGCTTGTTTCTGGCGTAATTATGGTAGTAGTTTGGCGTAAAATGACGTGTTTTTTCTTTATCTGTCAACCCTGGGGGTTGGGGGGGGGGGGGGCATTGAAAAGGTCTGAGAGCCCGAGGTCTGGTGCCTATTGTATTCACAGTGGGTATGGAGTTCTCTTTGTTGAGTTAAATTTTGTCAAGACACTTTCATTATAGATAATAAACATGAATATTTATTGATATAAAACCTTGGACACCATTCAAAGAGTATTACTTCACAGGTCTATTTATTCTTCTTTCGGCACTAGCTTGATTGGTCCTTACCTGCACACGACTGAAGGTTACACCTGGCTGGTGTCTTCTTCGTGAAGTCCGTGCCAACAACCTTCTGTCTCGTGTTCTTTCAGCCAACTCTGACACTGATGATCCTCCATGCCAAGATGTTAAACTGTCCAGCATCTTTTCTCTCTTTCTACCTCTGTCTCCCCCCCCCCCCCCCTCCAACTTTCCTACTTTACGATGTACTCCAGTTTTCTCCTTCTCATCACATGACCAAAGAAGGAAGATTGTCTCTTTCTGATGTGGGCAATCAGTTCTCTTCGTGAGTTAGTTTCTCTCAAAACATCCTCAATACTCATTTTATCTGTCCAGGGTATTTTCATCATCCGTCTATAAAACCACATCTCAGTAGCTGCCAAATAATTTTTCACTAATCTTCCGACTGTCCATGATTCCCTTCCGTATATCAAGATAGGATTTATACAGCTTTTAAGAATTCTCTTTCTCGTCTCAATTGACACAGAAAGATGCATAAAATATTCTTCATTTTGTAAAAATGCTGCATTTGCTTGAGCTATTCGACATTTAACTTCGTTAATACGTCTTCCAGCTGGATGTTATTAGGGTACTTAAACATATCAACTTGCTTGAGGTTTGTCCCATTTACTTTGATGTTGCATTTTGGAGGGTCAGTTTTCTTTGTAATAGCCATTTCTTCTGTTTTTCTGCTGTTTAAAATAAGACGAGTGTTTTCACTTTCCGGGTACAATTATTTACATTTTTGTATTTGCAATATTTCTTGCAGCTGTGTTTCATTTTCAGTGATCAAAACTATATCGTGAGCATATTGCAGATTGTTAACAATATACCCACCATCCGATATTAATGGCATACATTGTAAGGATCTAATTATTACTTCACTGTACAAAATGAATAAACCGGGTGATAGTACACATTCCTTTCTAACATCTTGTTTAATGTTTTGAAAGATTCCAAGTTGGTTGTCAATCCTTATGGCTGCTTCTTGTTGCCAGTATATGTTTTTTTTTTAATTTTTTAAAATTATTCTCAGATCGTTACCATCAATGTTTAAGGTTTCCAAAATTCTAATAATTCCTTAATGTTTCCCTTCAGCAAACGCTTTAGAGTAATCAATAAAGCCGGTAACAAATATATGTATATATATATATATGAATATATATATATATATATATATATATATATATATATATATATATACACACATACACACACACACACATATATATATATATATATATATATATATTATATATATATATATATATATATATATATATAATAAATATATATAAAATTACGCACGTAAACATGGCTGATGTCTCTCGAGTCGTTATAGAAAGTTTGTAAAAGGGCTCAGCAATATTCCTATCCCAATATTTTCTTTGTGTCGGCACCCATGCCCAACACTATAGTAATCTAAACACTCAGACTCTTGACAACTGTTCACAAATTAAATAACAAACCTACCCTCTTCTGATAATATATACTATATAATTATTTCGTAATGTAGAATACAAGCAGCAGGATAAGTTTGTCAACACAGGTAATAACTTTAAATGTAGTTAGCTAGCTATGGCCTGACGTAGTTTCAAACCACCCTTTGAAGGTGATTACAAATATCTGTTTTCTAGAAAGCGGGTAGCAGATATGACCTAAGCGAGAACTGGGAAAACAGGTTCCTGGTAACAGTCATTTACTAAGAATAGACAATATGTCAGCTCTATTTATATTCAATGTTACATCAAGTCATTTTATTGTAATGTTTCTTCAGTCTATCCTTCCTCTGCGACGTCTCTTTTTTCTGCTTCATCTTCTACTGCTCTTTATTCTTCATCTTCTTCTTCTTCTTCTTCCTCTTTTTCTTCTTCTTCTTCCTCTTCTTCTTCTTCTTCTATTTCATGTGTGTGTATGTATCTAATTTATGTGGGTGTATGTATGCATGCATGTATGTATGTATCTATGTGTGTATGTATGCATGTTGGTGGATGTATGTATGCATATGTAGCATTGTAAGTATGTGTTTGTGTGTATGCATATATGTATGTATGTATGTATGTATGTATGTGTGTGTGTGTGTGTGTGTGTGTGTGTGTGTGTGTGTGTGTGTGTGTGTGTGTGTGTGTGTGTGTGTGTGTGTGTGTGTGTGTGTGTGTGTGTGTGTGTGTGTGTGTGTGTGTGTGTGTGTGTGTGTGTGTGTGTGTGTGTGTGTGTGTGTGTGTGTGTGTGTGTGTGTGTGTGTGTGTGTGTGTGTGTGTGTGTGTGTGTGTGTGTGTGTGTGTGTGTGTGTGTGTGTGTGTGTGTGTGTGTGTGTGTGTGTGTGTGTGTGTGTGTGTGTGTGTGTGTGTGTGTGTGTGTGTGTGTGTGTGTGTGTGTGTGTGTGTGTGTGTGTGTGTGTGTGTGTGTGTGTGTGTGTGTGTGTGTGTGTGTGTGTGTGTGTGAGTGTGTGTGTGTGTGTGTGTGTGTGTGTGTGTGTGTGTGTGTGTGTGTGTGTAAGCATGTATGTGGGGTGTATTTATGCATATGAGTGTATATGTGTGGTTGTGGGCGTATGTGGGTGTCTGTTTATGTGATTGTATGTGTGTGTATGCATGCATGCATGTGTAGGTGTGTATGTATGGAATTTGTGTGTGTGCATGTATGTCTATGTATGTATGTCTATGTATGTATGTGTGTGTGTTTTATGTTTGTGCATGTATGTCTATGTATGTGTGTGTTTTATGTTTGTGTTTGTATGTAGATGCGTGTATATATGTATTACGTATGTCTGTATTGAGTGTGCATGTATGAGAATGTAAGAGTATGTATACGCGTGTTTGAGTGTGTAAGATTGTGTACATATGATGTGTGTATGCATTATTCAATAATGTATATTTCTTTATTACATCCATAACATGCATTATTGATAACAGGCATTGGTACTCTGAAAAATGTGTGCTTAGAAGGGCCGAATGTCAGACGGGCCTATGTGCCCCATTTGTAACCCTTTGAAAATAAAGTTCGTTCGTTCGTTCTTCTTCTGCTTCTTCTTCTTATCCCTCTTCTTCTTCTTCTTCTCCTCTTCTTCATCTCCTTTTTCTTCTCGCTTCTATCAATTACATAAGCGAAGAGTTGACAAGAGACTAAAGAATATGGGGTGCCTTTTCCAATACTTTGTGTAAATTGGTCTTTTTTTTCTAGAAAGGTATATACATCTCAATTGGTTATTGTACTTGGCATATTTTTTTCAGTAATTGATATAGTGAATATACCTACAAAGTTCATGGGCTTTCACGGTTCTGGTTCGAGGGTAAAACTAAAAGAAGATAGCGGAACTTTTGCCTC